TTACTTTTCCTCAAAATGTCGATCGAAATAATTTGACATTATTTTATGATAAAATTGGTAAAACTAACGTTATAAAGCAATATTTTTTTTTAAATAAAAAAAGGTACTATTTGAAGTTTTTAGTTTGCCAAAGTGCCATCTTTTTGTAGTTACTAAATGAATAACCTATTACTAACAATTTTTAATCATTTTAAAGGCATTTTCTCTCTCTCTCTCCCACTCTCTCTCACTCTCTCTCTCTCTCTCTCTCACCCTCCTACTCATTCTCCTACTCACTCTCTCTCTTTTTACGCGCTCTCCCTCTCATTCTCTTTTTTTCTCTATTTCCTTCTCTCTCTTTCCCTCTCTCTCTTTTAAATAATTTGATATTTCTTGTTGACCTCTGGGGAGTGAAGTGTTCAATTTTTGTTATTTTAAAAATTGTTGTTTCAATTTTTGCTTTTTTCTAACGATTTACACAGTAATTTCTTAGCAATAAGATCGCGATAATAATATTATGGTGTAATTTACTTCCTTTCTCTAAGTAATATTAATAACCCGAGAATCATTTAACACCAATTGAAAATTTCTCGACACGATGGTCCCCTAGGAAAAAAGGCCTTTAACTTCAAAATTGTCTTAAATTAATATTAATGAAGGCTTACAGGTCAGAACTGCAGGCTTTTAAAATTATTTTCCAAGCAAATGATATTAGCCGAGCTGTTAAAAATTTTGGCATAATAACGCGTTTAACGATGGTGTAAAATGAGTATAATAAAAGTTACTGTGCTAAATTCAATATATACATATAAAAAGGATTGTTTGCATTACAAATGAACGTCAAATAGTATAAAACCTGGCTTTAGGATTTTTTGAAGGTTTATTCCATGTAGACGGACAAGGAAAATAAATTAAAGGAAAATTCTCCACGAAGTCATGTCTGATAAAACTACTAAAACTGTCTAAATATCGTATTGCGTTACAACTTAACTATTTCGCTATACATTCATTTTAGTTCCATTTCTAAACATTATTATAATGTTTGAAGCGTATAAATTCAACAAAAATATGGTAATAGGTTTAATGTAGTGAAAATGTGTGACAGCAGGTCTTGTTCATTTATTCAGCACATAAACCGGAGGTGAACGGTCCAAAATTATTATTCAAAAGGGTAAGCCAACAATCTTTTTTTAAAGTCCTGTTATGAGGAAGAATTGTGGGAGAAAATATTGCACCGTTGAACATTTATCGTTTCTGTAGTGGCAGAACAGAAGCCATACAATGTAAGACCTGGTATACATTTTCTTGACGCGCAGATATGCAAATTTATACGCCGTGCTTTCTCAACTTCTAGCGTCAGTTAAATGAGATGTTATTCTGTCGGAAGGTTTTGGTTATTGAAAAATGCAAAAACCGGCGGAACGTTTTTTTATGGCCGACAACAAGAGTCTGACCGAAATAATTCATTCCGACATGCCGTAAGATCGAGAGAAAATGAGAGATATACAATCTTTTCTACATGAATTGTGAAAAGAATTGCCCCCGAGAGATGGCCATCGCAAAGTTTAGGGCCTGGGTGCGGCCGTGTGTCTATTTGAATGGGCATTCTTCACAGGAAATTACCCTGTAAATCCAAGAAGCTGACATTAATAATGTGTAATCTTATCACATGTAAAATGACTCATAATATATTAGTTTTGGACCACATACTGCCATTCCGAACATGTAAAGATGTTAAATTATATTTTATTTCATACTTTTTCACTTAAATTTCATTCATTTTCATTACCAATATTATTTTATCAAATTTTTATGGTGACCAATATGTTTTAAAATATTCAGGGAGATTCCTAAAACATGTAAGAAACGAAATTTTATGAAGGAGTATCTCTAATATAATTAATATCGCCTTAAATATTACAGTTTCAAATTGAAAATCTGGAAAAAATGTAGAAATATTAATTTATTAGAATATTTCTGATATACTATAGATGGGTGCTTGACCTAGTCCACCGTAAATTAATTTTTTAATTTTATTACACTTAAAACTATGAGTTTAAATTTTGTAATGGACGTTTAAATTTTTATATGTGAACACACACACACACACACACACACACACACATATATATATATATATATATATATATATATATATATAGTTCTTTGAAGCGGATATATTCCTCGAATGCACGACGAAGGAATAGACGGTTTCTTTCAAATGGGCCCTATTATTGATTTGTTTGATTATTAGTAGAATTTATTAAAAAAATCATAACATAAATTTGTAATATAAATAATTCCTACACTTTCGAAAAGGCAAAAATATTTAAGTCGGACCAGTGGCTAGTGTAAATAGTGGCAAAGAAAGCGCAAAGCCAACAAAGACCAAAATAAAATTAAGATCACAAATATGCATTTAACCCTTTTTCCAGTTGCACGTTTATTTTAGTCTATATGTATTATGATCGTTACATTAGTTACAACTTACTTATTTAAATGTAATACAAACAAAACGTGATCGGAAATTCATGAGTTTTAATAAAAATTATTTACTTATTACATTATTTACATTATTATGATGGTTTTAAAGAAAATTCACCAAAACACAGGAAAGTCGTTTAGTGATAATTATCATTAAACTTTATTACCAAACAAAAATTTATTACCTTCTTTTGCTCTTAATATCATATATAGTAAAGTATAATAATAGCCTCCCTCGGCACGCGGACGGGTCTGTCTCCAAGGCATCGAGTAAATAAGCGATTGGATTTCGTCTTGTGAAAAAGAATCCCATCTTTCAAGAAGAGCGGTTTGAGGCTTTTCAACGTTTGTTGGCGGGTATGAAAGATGTCTGACCCATCCCTTTATCATGTTCTATGAATGTTCTATGGGATTCGTGTGAGGAGAACGTACTAGCCAATTCATTGTGGCAACATCCTCTAAGTAACAGATGATAACTCGAACTGGACAGAATGAGACCACAGCTTCATGAAGAACTTCCTCTATGTATCTTAGTGCCGTCAAAGATTTCTGTATGACGATCAGTTTGGTATGAGCATGTGAACACTTGCTCGCGCCTAAGTTGAAGTATCATCGTAGAGCAGGGAAATGCAGAGAACTAGCATCTTGAACATTTAAGTTAAATGCTACATTAGAGTGGTCCAGGTCTTTAGAAAGGAAAATCCTGTTAGCGGAGTGCAAATGATATTCACAACTCTCACGATGTTGATCACCTAACGTACACAAAGGTTTGCGGTATTTTTGAGCCAACTCGAAAGTTTTTCAAAATAAAAAGAACAATTCCAACAGGAATTAAAAACTAGTAATTTTTAATGACAAAACCAAGAGCAATTAGATTTAATAACCTCGAGAGCAGTAATTTTAGTGATTCCAGAATTAGAGCCTTTAAGTATCTTGACAATAAATGAGAAGTACAAGATAGGAATAAAAATAAAAATCGTAGAAATGGTGAATGATGGAGTGAGTGCGGTGTTGAATCATTTTTTAAAAAAGATAGTTCTTACTCACATTAAGTAACATTTTTCACCATTTCTATTAATTTGCTAGTCAAAGCAGTAATGGATTATAACACAATCAATAATATTACCTCCACTTACTTAACTTAATGTGAGTAAGAACTATCTTTTTTAAAAAAAAGGAAGAAAAATCGTATCCACTACTGATTCAATATAAAACATATATAGTTTCGTTTGGAGTCAGGCAATGAGAAAACCTTTCTAATAAAAAAACGCTGAGCTTTTTCGTTCTCATCATAACGCTGAAACCCCAAACCTGGCCTGCATAGCATAAAACGAAACGGGATTCTTAATGTAAACTTACAAAAAGCAAGGATTAACTTCCAAGACAAAATATCACACCATTCAAAGCAACTTTCGCCAACAAAGCTTTATTCTTAAATGAGTGGTTAGAGAAAGCCTGAGGGTTAGGTCAACACCAAGATAACGTATTGGTTTACCACCTCAACTTTCTCCCCTCTAAAAAACCAGGTCTTGGTCGCAGGCCAGCCTCCTCCTCTAAACACTATTATCTTTGATTTAGCTAGGTTGACCACAGATTCCATTGGTCACAGTACGATTCCAGGAGACCAAGATCTTTTTGCCGCCCAACAATACTATCTGCTATTAAAACTATATCGTCTGCATACATTCAAATTTTAATAACAATATCTCTAACAAGGACTCCAAAATCCAAGTTTGAAGGGAGGTCATCCAAGAATGAGGGAAAAAGTAGAGGATTTAGGATCCTTGTCTCACATCAGAGGTCACAAAAAAATTCGGAAATACCTCACGACCACCTCAACGCACTCTTTGTCGGGGAGCAAATTGGCAGATCTGAAATCGACAGAGAAACAGGACAATTTTTTGAGTTTTGAAAATGACTGATTGAAGATTGTGTAGAATAAATAAATTGTCAGATGTGGAAAAGCCCTTTGTGAGTGCATTTATAGTTGACATATTAAAAATATTTCAGTTGTCAAAAAAACCACTAAAATTTTAACGAATTAGTAAGAACAAATAAATTAAAATTATCTTACGAAAAAGAAATGATTAGGTAAATTGAACTGTTAATTTTTTTTAAAAACACTTTACAAGTTGAAAAAAATTTTCCATTTATTTTTCCAGCTTTCACAGAACGAAAGCGTAAAGTGTGTTTTCGCTTAATGAAAACTATTAATTAAACAACCGATAGAAGTTTAACTAATATAACAACTGATTGCAAGGATGAAACACAAACACAACAGCATTCGGATCACGTCCACGGAGTTTACCTTGTGATTGCCACCCATTTACTATTTCGTATGATATCACCCTGACGCTTTATCGGCCAGAGAATTATTTTTCACTGGCTTCGTTCACCGATTCCTCTCACGGAACTTTTTAAACTGTCTCACGTAATAATGTTGACAAATACCTAAGGTTTAATTTTGTAAGGGCAACGTAGGTTTTAGCGTGCGCGTTGTCATTAAGATTATCTAGATAGATTGAGTCAAGACTTACGGACTGTGTAGTTGGTCTTGTTGAGTGCAGGGCAGACTCTCCAGAATCCAATCCTGAATGTGACAGTCGTCGGAGGTTGATTGTTCGGAAGCGATACAGGCTCTCGTGTGTAGAGCCAGACGTTGGAAACGAAACCGGTTACGAGTGCGGTGAGGGAGACGAGCCCCACACCCACCGCCAAGCCGGAGCTGCATAAACCTCGCATGCACATCTCAGAAATCACCTGAAAAAAGACAAGTCTTAAAACCAAACAACAGAATAAATTGGATAAATGTCAGCGAGCAATAACCAAGTTGCAATTATCTTTCTAGTACATTTTAATCGAAATAAAACATTAAATCATAGTATGTTGGGCTAATTAGTCTGCCTGCTATTGTTATTCAATGTGTACACAATACAAAGTTTCTTATTTGTGATTATATTACGAAGGTGGAGGAAGTTTGATTTTTATTTTATATTTTAATTTATTTAAACTTTATTTTGTTTAACAATTTGATTCTTGTAGAAAACGGAGTTGTGTACATAGTTTAAATATACATTAATAAAGCAATTGCAATTAAGTGAAAATACAAATACAACAATTTACAAAGTATCTTTCTGTATTCTGTTGAGACACATTATTATTTCTGTTTTATTTCATTTTTCAAAAGACGAGCAAAGTTTGTTCAATAATGATAATTTATTTAGAAATCGTGAGATGCGGTCTGGTGTGATGTAGGTTTCAGCTCTCTCAACACGACACGCAAGAATGGCACAATTACACAGAAGACAAACACTTTGAGCCCTGAAGATGATCTCAATAAAGATCGAAACGTTGGCACGGTAAAGAAAATGTTTTTCTGAAACCTACTTCACACCAGACCGCATCTCACAATTTCTAAATAAATATCCATTAAAGGTCACAAATCACCACACAAAATAATGATAATGTCTGCTAAGTTTACTTCGATAAATTGGCAGAAAATAACCAGAGATTTGTATTACATACAAGTGATTAAACTCTGGAGATGAATAAAGAAGTATGCTAATATCCTTTGTTCAGTTGTAGTGAGCGCATTTTATATTTCGAGAAATTTGAGCAGATTTTGTCTTGTTTACAAGGAATCAATAATGTAAATGTATGAGATATCTATAGTTGATATAGAAAAAATGTTCATTTTCAGAAATTCCACCACTTGCCTTACCTGTTTTATAATGGTCTTTCAGAGTAACATATAAAGCTGTTATACACTTTAAATATGTAGGAATAGTTTTGTTTGGTATTGCCAAGTTTTCGAGAAACAAATTAGCTCAAAATTTTAAAAAGATTTTTATCTAATGTTTATTTAAAAAAACAAACAATGTTGACAGACCATGGATATTTCCGAATACTACCAGTGGATATCTTGAATTTTTTCACTACAAATTTCCGTAGACTTCACTTTCCTTCTCTTCAGCGATAGCCTACTTGTCGCCGAAGCATCGGTTCCAAATTTCTTCTAAGTCATCAGAAATTCTCTCCGTTAAAGCGGTATTTTGATGGGGATCGCCGTGGAGTCGTCAATTGTGACGAAAGGAGTTACAAAGTTGATGGAGTGAGTAGATTGTGAACAACGGCGCATTATCTTTCAGGTTAATTAGTATTTTTACATTTTTAAAAAACGCATGACAAATCGTTCTTCTTTTTTGAAAGATTTTGCAGTTTTAAGGACCTTATATTTCTCGTAGTATGTACTCATTAAAATAAAAACGACAAAATAATTTATAAGGGAGACTCTTTTATTTTTAGTAGTGGAGGAGATAGTGTTTAGTTACTTCAATTTTACAATTAGCAATTGTTTCTCTTTACTCACGCAATTTCCATTCAAATTTTAGATAAAACAGTTTAATATATCTATATATAAAAGAATATGTAGATATTCAGTATAAATGTAAAATATGTCCAAATTGCTTGGGATCGTAAAAACACAATTTCAACATAAAGAATCCCTAACCTCTCGGACAACGTATTGTTCCAGAAAGACATAAAACCCAAGAAAACGTCATTTTTCTTCGTTTTCACATTTGTGCTATTCATTTTTGTTTTCACATAAAAAACGAAAGCACTTCGCTGTGATAAATGACCGCATTTTTTACATTTTTCAAACTATTCTGATTTGACTCACTAAAATGGACATACTACACTTTAAGGCATGCATGTGGCCACGCTCTTTTTTATTAATTACATTCAATCGTTATAATTTTTATTTTTTGTTGCTTACTAAATATTTTTAAAGAAAAATATAAGATATAGCTAAATATAAAATTTAATTGACCAAAAACTTTGTTATAACAATCAAAACAATTTGCAAAAATTCATGTTATAGAAATATTCAATTCCTTAATCAACGATGTCCTCTGGACATCCTTGCCCCTTAATTCCTTACACTGAGTGCCAGCATTTGGTGGTTTCTCAAAGCATGTGTCCTCTAGGTGCATCTCTGGCATTAGTGTTAATGCTGTGACCGTGTGAAAAAAACACAGTGCTCTCATTTGTAATATGTATAAATATATATATAGATTACAAATAAAAATTATTGAAAAAAATAATAAAAATAGTAATAATTATTCACACCCTGTAATACATTAAAAAAATTATTTATTATTATCATTTCTTTTTATTCCAAGAGTGTTAAATGAACCGAATGGTTTCAAGCTAAAAGGTGTTTTTTTGGAAATAGAAATAAGATTGTACTTCTGATTCCAAGTGTCATTGTTCACTTACAATTCATCAGCGTTTGAATAGAATATTTCTTAACTGGTGATTTAACGTTAAAATTTCATTGAATGTTCTTTTCGAGCACCTGCCTTTTTATTATTGAAAATTTATTGATGGGCTTTTGACTCAAGAGTGAAGAGACCGATTAGATTAATTTTGCCGGAAATTAATAACGTCGTCAATTCGACAAAAATCGCTTTGCAAGCTCAAGATTATTTGTTGCAATTAATTAATATTTATGAAAGGTATTGGTTGAGATAAATAAAGTCAGTGTCACGAACGGGATTTGAACCCACGACCTTCGGCTAAATACGCCGCTGGTTGGAATCCCGCTCGTGACACTGACTTTTTTATCTCAACCAATACCTTTCATAAATATTAATTAATTGAAAAATGTTAATTGGTCAATCGGACCACGAACTGTAATGGATGATTTATTGCGTACAACATAAGTAGTTTTTTCCCATAGTTGTAAAAAATGTGTATGAACAGAGTATTATAGGAGTAAAGTCTGGAAATAAAAAGTGTTTTGTTCAGGTGCTTTTAGGTGTAGAATTTTCTCGCCACCATTAACATAAAAAGCTTATAATTTTTTAAGAGGTCGAAATTTACAACTGGCCCTTTTAGTGTACCTTTCCTCATTAATTAAAAAAAAAATATTTAGCCGTTTATATCCTCCATTGGTCGACAGATCGTCGTGGGGATGGCTTTTTGTCGTGGTCGGCTGGCGGATGGAGAATACGTGCCGGGCTTACGGATGGAGCAATTAGTATGAGTGCAGCGGTTTCGTTAGAAGCCCTAGCAATCAAAGAAGGGATAAGTTTTAGACCAAAATAAGGAAAACACCTGGATATAAGATTAGCAGAGTCACTGCTTTCTTTCTTAAAAGATCCACCACAATAATGACAATGACCAAAAAATTGACAAAACCTTCAACCAAAAGCTTTATATTGTTAAATAATCTCTGTTTTTTACTTCATTTTATCTCACTTCAAAAAAATAAATAAATAAAGCCGTTGTAAAATCATTTTAAATGAAAAATTTAATAATCAAATTTTGACATCTACGACAAGCAATTTATGATTATATTATTTACAAATAAAATATTTATTTAAATTTTTGTTACTTTTAATTACAAAAATTTTAAAAATAGAATAAAACATTAGAAAACAACTCAATAATGAAATATGAACTAATTAGTAATACGTTTTACAAATTAACTGATTAGATTTTTATCACTTCTTACAACGTTATAGAAAACAGTTATGCTAAAATGTAGTAACAAGAAAAAATTATGGATTATTAAAAAAATATAGAGATGTAGGGTGTATAAACTATATAGTATAAACTATATCAACTATATAGGGTAAAAATAGGTATCAATATTTTTTAAGTAAGGCTGAGATGGAAGCTGTTGCGTGAAAGGTAGTGTCACAAAAAAGTACGCGTTAAGGAAAGAGGCCGAGAGTTGAAAGAGGAGACAGGCCGAGAGAAGAAAGCCAGCAAATTAAAAGATAATTAACTGAATTATAAGAAAGTTCAAAGAAAAACTTAATTAATAAAAGATTACTGGAGACAGGAGATAATAAAACGCGCAAGATAAAAGAATTTTGACAAAAAGATGGGATAAACGAACTATTATTGACCAAGTAAAATAGGTTTCTAAAAAGTTGTCGTTTTATATTTTCGTCTTTAAAATGACACATAAAAACTATTTTATAATTTCCCGACAAAGGAGTACATATAGATGGATTGAGATCTAGACTACGCGAAGGTAAGAAAATAGAGCAGAATATTGAAGGAGAACGGTGAAAGGTTAAAATGTAAGAAATATACAAAATTTCTCGCGAGATATAATTGATTTTTCATCAGCAAAAGTTTACAACCGATAGGATATGCTATCAGTGTAAAATAAGTCTTATAAAATTTACAGCGCGGACAAAATATCAGAAAATGAATGCAGTAAAAATATACATAATCATTGTACATTTAAATGAGTTTTTTGATTTGTTTATGCTACTGAATACGTTTTTCATAAGATTTTTATTTAAATTTTGATATATCAGTGATTATAAGTTTTGTGGGATCGGTTTGAATTGTCGGTTTATAAATTGAACAAATATAAGTTCTACCAACCGCTTATAAGAAAATATAATAAGAATTGTAAAAGAAAGGATAAAAAAGAAAAAGGGTGAGAGAGAGAGAGAGAGAGAGAGAGAGAGAGAGAGAGAGAGAGAGAGAGAGTGAGAGAGAGAATAAATATGCAGTAATCTCCAGTACGACGGCACTTCCATAGACTAAACCGGCACGACCGATCAGTCATGCGGTGTTTTAATTCCTTCAAACGACTTGCCCCAAAGAAATTCTTAATATGGGATTTTCTTTCTTTGAGAAGGACCAAAAAACTCGTGTTTCACATATTTTCTCCACTTCACGGAAAAACGTTGATTCATGGATACGTTTTTAACCAGTGAATTAGTAAAATT